ATTAAAGACATTACATGAAAGGTATAAAACTTTTGAGTTCATGAGTACGTCGGACCTTATCAACCCGAGTCATGAACCTATCTTGATTTGTTTTCCAAGTAGATGAAGAGTCCTTGCATATTCATTTGAATGAACTAAATTCATGAATCAATATTAATGGGATGTAAAGGGGATGAATGTTCATATTCATAGTTAGATTAAGTTCATGAATAAAACCTCTTTGGTTTTTGTGGAAGATTGTATCTAACTAAGTTAATTGAATTAACTTGGGAGAATGAATAGAACAATTATACTACTTCAAGTAACTCTTCACCTATAAATAGTGGCTCATTTTTAAACAAACAAATCATCCAAAAATTTCCAAGCTCTCTTAGCTTTCTTCTTAGCCTTTGTAGCTTATTTCTCTTGGTATTCTCTGAATTCTATGGTTCTAGTTCGCTGATGAAGATCCTTAGTGCAAAGGAATATTTACGAATTCGTTGTATCCTGGGAGATAGAAGTTCACTAAATCTCTTGCACATTCGGGAGAGGGTTAATCTGTCTTAAGGAAATCGTGTCTTTCACGAGCCTCGAATTTCCTCCTAATCTTTCTATCTTCTATTCTTACCTTTTCGAATACACTATCTTTTAGTATTTACCCAAAAAAAAAACTTCCTTTCGGAAACTTTTGAATACTGTTGAATTAGCTTTATTCACTCCTATAATGATGACAAAAAACAAGAATAGAAGACTGCACCCTGTTTTGACCATAATCATTAAATTACAATTATCATAATAAACTAATTATATTACATACACTTCTTCTGTCTAAAAAAAAAAAGTCCACAACGAGCTTTTAAAATTTGTATTAATTTAGGTACAAATTTAAGAACTTAATGTAGACAATTTTTATGAATTGGAAAGAGTATATACTAACATAGATGGTCATTATTAAATTCGAAATGATTTTTACTGGTCGTCGAACAGATCACATGACGAGACGTAGTTGTCAGTTGTCACTAACTAATCACTTGTCATGAAGTTGATTAGCATCATCCTTAGGTTGCGCGACACAAAATGAAAATACGTAAATAATATGGCCATCACACGAGTAAAAGAAGTAATTAAAAAATATTTTTGTGTTCACTTTTGAGAACCCGACCTTTTAGGCAAGTCATTAATGAATGGATTTTGAAGGATCGCGCCTTCCCCCATTCTCTCTTAAACACCCACCCCCTCCCCCCAAATTAAGCTAAATGAAACGTCAAAATTATCTGTCTGGAAAAGAAGATTCCATTTCCATATGTTCAGGGACAAAAGCATAAATGGAAGAAAATGTGATAAAAACTATTCATTACGTCTGGAAATTATTGTCTGATTCATATTTTCATTTTTAGTTTAAATTTTTGTAAAAGCTAAAATACAGATATTATAATTATTTTAGAATGGAAGACTTCCAGATTTATGTGTTGTATTGGGATGGGATGGGGATGTTTCAAACTTGTCGATCTTAATAATGAACAAAAACAGGAAGAATTGTGGCAAGAATTCAGTAAAGGAGTGATCATAGAAAGAAAGAAATTTCTCCTCAAGAAAGCTTTGATAATTTTACATCTCTTGTAATTGTCTCTTTAATCTGTACAAAAGAGGAATTCGATTTCTTATATATACACTTCGATATATCTGTACAAAACTATATCTTCACTTTACAGAGAGAAAAGAACCACAAAATAATCTAATCATGATAGTTAAAATCCAACTAATCTTAATCGTACGCCCGATGTTTGTTGAAGATGTGTTGGTATGGATTGATGACATGGACCTATGATGTCTCTAGAAGGCTCGTTGGGCAGCTCAGCCTGGTTGAGCCACAGCCGGTGAGATTCAGATGATAAAGGCTGCTTTTGATCAACGAAATCAGGAGGAGAGTTTTGACTTCCATGCATGTGACGCAACAAAGTGACAGCCAAGTATTTTGCTTCTGACTTGGATGAATTTGATGACTGCTGATAATTCAACAGGATGGATGTAATATTGTAATGCGTATACAGCGCATATATAGTAATTTCCTAATTGGTGTATGTATATAGAGAGTGCACATGATGAGTTCGATCACCCATGGCAGTGGCGGAACCAGCTCTTGACAGTTGGGGCTTCGGTGTTCTATTATTTTCTTTATTCTGAAAAAAATTCAATGTGAATTATTTTTTTTAAAGATAATTTCTTTTATTTATTCAAATAATTAATAATTTTTTAAGAGATAAACTAATATTCATGTTCTGGGATATATTATCTGCATAAACGAGCTTAGAATTTGCATGATTTGTTAGAAAGAAGTGAGCTAAAAAATTGGATTTGGAGATGAGCTCTCATTTATTTTTTAAAACTCATATTTAATCTCTAAACAATTAAAAAAAATTGATGAAGTTGGAATGTATTAATTTTGACTTTCAAATATAATATTAGGTCTACCAACACAAAGAATGAAAAGGAGAATATTAGTTATACATATAATAAATTATTATGGATAAAAAAGGCAAAGGCAGCAACATATAATGAAAAGAATAAATTTACCAAGAAATCGATATTAAAATTAGTGAAAAATCTTAAATAGGGCAGTAGCACAACGATTTCATAAAATTTCTTCATGATCATAAAAGAATTACTATGTATTTATTAGTTCCCTTGTTCAAATTCAATTACTGAATAAATAAATTAAATGCAAAAGATTGATTAGCATGGTGTAAATGCAAAAAGTCTTGGATTTTTGATCGATTTGTATTTTCTAGAAAGTCAAGGGAGGAGAAACTACTTAGAAAATGCCAATAGCATGGGGTGATTATGCCATATTCTAAACTTTGAGGACCAATTAATCAATATCTAAATAGATGAAATCAGAAGAAAAATAATTCTTCTTTTTCCTTAATCCCGGCAAACTTGCAACTAGCCGCCGACCGAAAACAAAACTGATAACCTCAAAGCTTAGGCTTGGATCTAGCCTACCTCAAGCCCCCTTACACCCAAAACCACCAGGGAGGGAGGGGGGAGGGGGGGAGAGGGGGGCTGAGATTGAAAGGTTCGTGGCTCCGATTGTAAGTCCCCAATGGGCTTCTCTGGGCGGGTGGGGGGTCTTGAGACCCCCCAAGCCCCAATGTGGTTCCGCCCTCATGGGGTACCTCTGAGTCGGCTTTAGGGGAAGGTTACTAATTAAGGATGGGGCTTGGAGTCTCATATTGTTTATAGTCTCATTTTTTAGGATTTTGTTTACTATAATTATTTTTTGAAAAATATTTTAATCTTATTATTGAAAAGATAACCAAAAAAAAAAATACTATCTTAAATGTTTTGACATGCGAAGTATGTTTATCATCTATATGGTGTTGTAAATTTTGTCCCTCAATAAAGTCATACTCAAATTTTATTTTTTTTTTTGAAAAAATCGATTAATTAGTCTCAATGTAGGCATCTTAGGTATAATGTCATCCCAACCTATTCCATTTTGTCAATTTAGTCCCAACCTATACTACATTTAGTCAATTTAGTCAATCTAATTAGACTTGTGAACATATTAACGGAATTTCTAACGTTTTTCGTTGGCATTCTTCGTTTTTTTTTTAATATTTAATAAATTTTAGCTCCTCCATTTTTAATTTCAACGCCGCCGACCACCATCACTTACACGGTTACACCAACACCCCCTCCTTCCTCGCTGCCATCATCTCAGTGCCTCCGTCGCCTCAATTTTTATTTTTGGCTGAAATAATTAATTTGAAAGAAATAGTCTATTTGAGTTGGTTGCCCGATGAGGTGTTTGCAAAGAAGCTTTTGGGTTTTGAGGTGATTGCTGCAGCGATGATGGGGACTGGGGAGTTTAGTTGGGGGTGAGATACAGCCAAGAAGGAAGAAGCTTGTGGATTTGAAAAATTTTTCACCCAAAAATTGTAAATTGATATCCATTCACATAATTCTATCACCATATAAATGATTAGAAAGGCAGAAAGTATTGAGATGGTGGAGGAACAGAATGGTAGACGATGGCGGAAATAGAGTCAACGGCGATGGAATTTAAAAAAATATAAAGTACTAACAGAAAAGGCTGTTCATGAGAGCAAGTTTAATGCGGTGATACTGAAGAGGCTGTTCATGAGCAAGATCAATAAGCCTCCTAAGTCTCTTTCCAGGCTTGTTAGCTACATGAAAGGAAAGGTACATGCTTGATCAGCTTTGTTTTTTGTTGATCTCAGTTGATCTGGAGCAAAATCTAATATTCATAGTAAAAACCTCCCAAACAGCTGCCGTAGCAATCTCTCGCAACCCCTACAGCGCTCGCCATTCCAGAAGAGCGGTTAAAATTCCAATCAGAATTAGTCCTAATCAAATCCATATACATTGTACGAGACTGCGAGATGTATGAAGAATTTCTATCACACAACTATTTTCATAGAATATATTGACAAACACGCATCATTAAAAATTACTATTTTTTTGGGGAATCATTTTTCCTTGCTGACTATCACGTACTATTGACTAGTCATGAATCAGGAGGGTTGGAGTTGTTAGAAGCTCTACCATCAGAAGTCAAGCCATTGTTGGAACGGTTCGAGTATGATATTGTAGGAATTGCATATTCTACATCTAGCTAATGTTTAGCCTCTATGGGCGTAACAAAAAAAGAAAAAGAATTAGTCTCGAAAAGTAATTAGATTAAATTAAAAAGTTACCTTTCAGCCGATTGTCCACCAAAAAACAAAATGTTAGCTACAAATGAAGGACAGCTTCACAGATTATAAATTTACAATGAAACATATGAAACCTCACATTGACAAATCGTAGCAGGTACTTGATAACTCCATTGACACGCAACTTCTGATAAGAACATACAAATATCATCTTGGAGAAAATAAGAACTGTTTGGTCGGCTAGTTAATTTAGAGAAAAAAATTGCAAGTGAAAGGTCTCCAAAAGAAAAAAAAAAAAAAACAAAAAAACAAACAAGCCTCTAGTTATCTCACTATGATCAATTAGATCTGAAAAAAATCAGTTGTTGCAAGTGAAAGAAACTCGTCCGGAAGCAAACCGAAATCGTCTTCTGACATGGAAATCCACGCTTCTATTCCCTCCTCATTCCTTGTGCTGATTAAGTATACAACATTGCCATCTCCAAAAGCAGCTGCTGTAGGGCCAACCGAAACCGGTTTTCCCCAACCAAAGTCCACTTCGTAAATCGGGAATCTCAACCAACTGCTAAAAACCCTTTCAGTCACTGTAGTCGTGGGTGGTGGCTGGAGGTGTCCTACTCCATTTGTAGCCATCTTTTTTACAAAAGGAACTACACGTTTGACAACATAATCTTCATCTATCTTCTTTATTGAATCACGTGTGCGCCAAACGAGATCGCCGTAATTAGCATATGTTATCCCTTCCTCCTGAATCTCCTCGGATGTGAATGAAGCAACGGCGCAGGTTAAGAAGTTCCCAAAAGGGAATTCTGTAGATGGTAAGGCCAACAATCTGCTCATCCTTCTTCTCAGGTTCACCAGGTGCCAGATCCTTGACATCAGTGTTGTGGCAGCATCATCTTGATTCTTAGCAAGCATTACGTTGATGAAATGCTTCCATATAAACGCAGATACGACTTCAACCCGGGTGGGATCCTTCACCTTCACTTCATGAGATGATGGTGAAGTAGTGGCGATTTTTTTAAGATTCGTTAACATGTTGTTGTCGAACACAAACCTCTTCCAAACTTTCTTCGCTTCCAAATGATTTTGAGACGGGATCACATGTTTCAAAGGAAGAAACATTTGAGTGCCAATGTTGAAATTGGGTGTTGAGAAATTAGTAGTGCCACCTTCCCCGGCGCCGCGGTTTAGAGCAGCCCATGAGTTCATGAATGTTAGACAGGACATGAGATCAGCGACATTATGGAGGATGCAGACACCAACCACATTTCCTCCGCATGCAAACCAAGTGATTTGTACTGCTAACACCATCATTTCGCTTTTAAGCCGGCATTCGCCATCCTCATCTTCAGACTGTAGGTATGGCTCCAGTGGCAAGTATTTTCCAAAATCTTCATAAGGAACATCGTGGACTGCTTCTGAGAGCCCAATATTAATCTTAGCTTCCACAAAAAGAGCTCCAGAGTCATCGCAATTAATAGAACAATGGCCTGGATTCAGCTTTCCGGCTAAAGGGTAGAATTTCGTCAGGCAATCTGATAAAGACTGTTTCAAATGGAAGGTTGCATTAGAAGTATATTTATCACCGTAAATTTTGGAATCACACGGGTTTCTTTTGTAGAAGAAAAGCAAAGGGATGTAGCGAGCCGGTTGAAGCTGATCTAGAAGAGACAATGTAAGCTCTTTTTTTTCAACCGCGGTAGGAGATGATGGTTTGATTAACTCCCTCGATATTACTTCTATTTTGGCTTCCATATCTCTCTCTCTCTCTCTCTCTCTCTCTCTCTCTCTCTCTCTCTCTCTCTCTCTCTCTCTATTACTAATTCTGAGCGCACCCTTGTTGAATTTATTTCAACTTGCATTTTGTGTGAATCCATGCATCAAAATATTTTAATATTTCCTTCATTCCATAAGTACACATTAATTTTTTAGATTTTTATTAAATCAGTACAAATTTCGAAACTCAGTGTGAATTATTTTTTTAAATGCAAAGACAGCCTAATCATAAATAATTATGCAAGTTGGCTGAGGAGGGTACTGCATGCACTCGCCATGTGAAACTCATCCAGATGTGCTGCATATACTCTATGATTTGAATAAAATAAAAGGAAGGAGATTTGGGCTGGAAAACAAAAGAAGCTGGGCTAACTTAAACACTTTCGTATTCAACAAAATGTTTGAAAGGAGAAACACTCTTCATCATGACCCTTCTTCTTCAAAATTGGGAGGGCAGTGATAGTGTGGTAGAACTCTACCCAGGGTACGTACCCTTAGGGGGCTCTCCAGTTGTCCGGCGACCTCGTGCCTCTTTAAGGGCTCCGCCCCTGCATCATTGGAATGATAGTCGGAGTTGTTGGAAACATACAATTATTTATATTGATGTGTTGGAAGTATATGATTATTTCTACATTATTGTGGATATGATCAGTGTGTGGTTTTATTGTCTTTGAGAATTTCTTTTTTGTCTTATCTACTGAAAATTGAAAACATGTAATTTAGGTGGGTGTATTTTATGCATGTGGGCTAATATTTTTAAAATATTAACACGAAATCAGGAAAATTTCTAGTGTATTGACTAACTGACTTGTTGCTTTTTTTGGTTTTTTTTTTTGGGAAAATCTATAATCTATCTATCTATAATAACCCCCATTATAACAAAAATTATGTTTCTCATAAAAATTCAAGTGTCACTTTTTGCTCAAAATTCTCCCACCCTAATAAGGGGTGTTCAAAAAAATCGACACCGATTAACCGAACCGAAAATCGACATAAAACCGAGTCGATTAACCGAACAATCGGTTAATAGGACTTGATTAAACGATTTTTTACCGGTTAATTAGTTCGGTTTTCGATTTTGCTTATACCTTTCTCGGTTAAATCAAATAACCGATTATAATAATTACAATTATAAATCTAGAAAAATTTTCTATGTTTCATATCTCTATGTCATTAATCTTTTTTATTTAGTCAATTTATTTCACTAAAACATTTTGTTGTAATAACTTGTTTTTTAGTTGAATAAACTATTATAGAAAAGAAAGGTTTTGATTGTTTTTATTGTAGATTGAGAGTTTAAAAAAGAGTTTCATTATTTGATGGTCTTAAAATATGATATGAATTATATAAATTAGTAGAACAAAATTTTTAAAAAAAATAGTAGAACAAAATTTAAAAGTGAAACTAAACATCAATTATATTTTGTTCGAAAATATATGACAAATATTATCTGTTAAACCGGTATAAACCAGTAATTAAACCAAAAACCGATAAATCGAAACCGTTAAATCGATAACTTAATCGGTTGGTTAATCGATTTTATCCAAAATTGACAAAATTAAAATTAACCGAAACTAATTATCCGGTACACCGGCTAACTGGTCGGTTGAACACCTAACTCTAATCCCCAAGAAAAAAAAAACAAAAAAGGGAAGTATTATCTTTTTCAAAAAAAAAAATGAAATCATTATCCCCTTTTATAATCCACGTTTCTCAAATATTTCAACTATTATAAACCTTAAAAGTTACTACATCCATATCTTTATTAAAACTTATGATACCATTTCATCCAATTAAAATAAAATTAAAAAGAAAAAAGAAAACCTCAAAAAATAACTTATTCGTCAAACTCACTCTCAATATGTAATTCAGTTCCCCCAAAAAAAAAACTCTCTCAAATAATATCTCCCTCTCTTCATCCTGATCAAATCGTAGAAGATTCAGCAAAATCCAAGCAAATTCGATCTATTTGCTTTGCCTTTTGGATTTATGTTTTTCTCAAAAAAAAATTTATTTTAGGTTTAAATTCTACTCGTTCCATCCCGAGATTATTATCCAGTTTGGATTTTCACTTTTAGTTCAATTTGCACTAAAAATGAAAATCCAAACTAGACAGTAATTTTGAAACGCAGGGTGTAAAATATAGTTTACGGTTTGATAATCCCATCTTCTTCTTCGATCGATTGGAAGCGGCAAACGGCGAGAGCAAGCAGCATCAAGGAGATTAGTTCCTTTTAATTTTCTTTTCTTTTTATGACTCTTTGTATTCAGATATTTTTGTTTAACATTTAAGGTTTTAGTCGTTCACAAAGAAAATCCTATAAGTTTTATGAAAATAATTATTTTTTCATATGGAAACAGACAATATCAAATTGAAAGGTGTTTCATGAGAACAATTAAAAAGTTGAAACAAAATATTTCAATCTTATGATGAGTGTCTTATATCTAATTAAAATATTCTTGAGCAGTATGTTCGGAAATTTTACGTGATGCAGTTGTTCAATAATTAGTGATAAGTTTCAAGATTCTTTTCCCTAAATTTTGTTCTGCCTATAGTTAAAAGATGCTACAATAATGATTTGTCTCCAAAAAAATTTTAAAAAAAAAAAACCGGGACTGGATATTTAATATCTAATAAAAAAACGATGCACCATTAGACATAATTATGTTCGCAATTTTAGAAACATATGAAAATGAAATACATATTTTTGCATCATCTATTACTTTATGCTTCATTTATGTCTTAAAAAGGACCATTAATGTTTGTATAATTTAAAACAATTCAGGGATTAAAGTCTAAATCCGTACAAATACTCGGGTCCAAAACCTAGTTATGATTAAGAGCGTTGAAAGAATAAAAATTAGTAAGAAGGGCGTGAGCTTTAGTTACTAATTATTATGATCATTTAAGAGCTAGCTTTTTAATTTTTTTCACATCTAAAAAATGACTTCTTTGTCAAGTTCCTTTCCTAGCTAACGATCGACTACTCTCCTTCTTCTTAAGCCAACTGCCTAAATTTGTTCTCGGCACCAATTATGTAAAATTGATTAGAATTTGTTCGTTTTTGGGCACCTTTTTGCCGTTACCGCCAAGGCACTGATAAAGAAATAAATCACATCATTTAAGTTGACAAACTAATACCTCATTCATTAAGTTGTTGCGGCCTTGCGGCTTATCAACTATGCATTTAGCCTTTTACGATACCGTTGCCAATTAATACTAATAGAAAAGTTTGTCAGTCGTGGTGGCCGACGAAGAATTGGGATGGGTTATCCTTTAGAAATCTGCATATACCAAATACTTGAGAGCAACATAATTCGAAAACGTCAAAGTCTTCATTTTTCTAAAACCTGGTTGCAATATTCATATGGATCCACATAACAAAAATCAATCACCAAATTATTTCGTCTCTAAAAAGTAGGTTTATCTTGTAAAAGAAAGCCTCAAAAATTTAATTCATGTAGTGCGCAAAGCCGCTCCTTTCCCATTGAAATTCTCTTAAAAATTTTGAATGCAACTGATAAGATTGGGAGCTCATATTGCTCTTCATCCGGTATAAAAATCGATTGGAAGATATTTTTGGAGATATGCATTTGAAAAGGTAGCCTTACTATCTAACGCGAACATGAACTTGTGGTGATTCCGTGAGCGACGAATCGGCGTAGTAATCAGAATGACAAGTGATCAATCCAAAGACAAGAGGTGGGGGAACAAAAGAAAGGACAAGAAAGTCTTATGTTAAGTAGAAAATGTTTTAAATATTTATAATAATGAGTAAATAAAGTCATGCCCTTCTTAATAATTTTGATTCTTGTGCTTAACTAAAATTTTCCATTTTTTTTTCTATTTGGTTCGACTGAATACCCAACCGATCAGCCCAAATACCCGAATTTGTTAATCGGGTGGAGATGAATATAAAATTATTATTTATAAGGTAACCTCTACATTTTCGATCAACCCAAAAGTCAAAATGCATGGATCGATCTGATCACACGCAATGGAATCGGTGGACTTATGTAAACTCAATCTAATAGTTTAGTGACTAGTTTAGTGATTGTACTCTTCCGTCAGTCGTTGTTGGACAGTTTGTATCAATCAGGGTTGGTTGATTTCCAGCAATCGTAATAAAGTTTTCTTTTTAAAAAAAAAAAAATAAACCCAATCTCTGCAAGTTTTTTAAAAAAACCCATTCTCTGTTAGTATTTAAAAAAAAAAAAAACCAATCTCTGTAATTAATTTCTCGGATTGATTAATCATAATAATAGCATTAAGGTAGCAGCACTACAGCATGCATGAAGTAGGTCGGGGGATCCAGATTATTGGGTGCGATTAGATTCTCTCAAACTCACATGACATCATTATACAACGAGCAAAATGCATGTACTTTAACGTGAAAGCTAGCTGTTGAAGTATTAATTTATAGACTGGATCTCTAATCAAATCAGAAGCTCCATTTAGAATGCTTAGTTCTACTTTGTCAAATTTCATGCGAACAGAACACATACTCTCTCTCGTGCATGGTTTGACAAATTCACCTTTGACGTAATTGCTTGTTTGTTATAACTTGATTTGGTATATTTTGATTTGTCCTAAGTTTTACTTAATATATTTGTTCGATTGCAAAACAAACCTTAGAAATACATTTTCAACTTCATTGTGTTCTCTTAATTACTGTGAAATATTTTTTAAAATTTTTAATTAAAAATACATATTATGCGAAACTTAGAACTAAATCAAAATACCTTATAATAAAGACCGGAGGGAGTACTAAGCTATTACAGTTAGTGAACGGAAAGTCCTGAGCAAGTGATTTAAAACAAAAAAAAAGAAAGAGAAACATTATTAACCTTTTCTTTTGGATATAATACAAGAAATACTGTAGTTTCACAAATTAATTCCGATTAGACCATCTACATAACTTGTTACGTGTTCTACATAAGCAGACAAAGTTTAACCATCAATTTTAAGTGGCTTTAGGAATAAAGTTGTAAGCCCACTAACAGGTGCTTATGGCCACAGCTGGAAACCAAAACCATGAAGAGGCGGCAGTCACAGTAGTGATGGTTCCTTTTCCGGCGCAGGGCCATCTGAACCAACTCTTGCATCTGACTCGCTTAATATGTGGTTGTTTAATATGTGGTTGCAAGATCAGGAGTGCAAGGATATTATGACGCAATGCTGGAATAAGGAGGTGGAGGGGACATGCCAATACAGAGTGATTAAAAAGCAGCAAATGTTGAAAAAATCTCTCAGAGACTTGAATAAAAGAAAATTATCAAACATTGAAGAGGCAGAATGACAGTGGAGGAAAAAGTTGGAGTGTGTACAAAAAGCTTTTTGAAGACTGATCCTTTTAATGTACAACTTTAACGGAGGAAAAAGAAGCTACAAAGGAGCGTGTATTGGGAGGGAAAACAGTGATCAGCTTCTATAACCAAAAACTGAAAGAGAAATGGTTGTAAGAAGGTGATCTTAATACTAAATACTTCCATGCCAGCTTAAAGAAAAAGATAGCAAGAAGCAAAATCAGAGCCTACACTGATAATCAAGGAATTCTTGTTGAAGATGCACCAATGGTTGAAGAACATTTTTTGGAGTATTTTCAATCTCTACTTGGGACAAATGTGACCAGATCATCAATCCAAAGTAACTTTTTTAGTACAAGGATCAAGTTGTTTGTAGAACAGCAACTTCTCCTGACTGAGGAGTTCATTAAGGAAGATGTGAAGGAAGCATTGTTCAGTATAGATGTTAACAAGAATTCAAGCCCTGATGGCTTCAACAGTGGATTTTACAGAGTTATGTGGTCCATTAAAGGAGAAGATGTTTGTGAGGCTGTTTTGGAATTTCTTAAAACTGGCAAAATGTTGAAGCAGTTAAATACAACTCTGATAGCCCTGATTCCTAAAGTAGCTATGCCAAAAGATGCAACTGAATACCGGCCTATAGCTTGTTGTAACACAGTATACAAGTGCATCTCTAAATTGATCTGCAAGAGGCTGAGCTTTGTTCTTGATGATCTGATTGACATCAATCAAGGAGCATTTGTGAAAGGTAGATCTATCTTGCAAAATATTTTACTTACACAGGAATTGGTAAGATTGTACAACAGCAAAAATGTGAAGCCAAGTTGCTTGTTGAAGGTGGATCTCAGGAATGTTTATGATTCTATACACTGGTGTTTTATTCAGGAGATGTTACAGAAATATGGCTTTCCACCAAAGATGATAGGCTGGATCATGGAGTGTATCAAAACAGCATCTTTTTCTTTGAACATTAATGGTTGTAGTACCGGCTTCTTTCAAGGCAAGAGAGGTTTGAGACAAGGTGATCCGATGTCTCCCCTCATTTTTGTCATGGTAATGGAGTATCTAACTAGAATGTTCAAGACAGAAGCAAGTAAAGAAGGATTTTAGTTCCATCCTTACTGTGATAAACTGAAAATAACTTCTTTGAGTTTTGCAGATGGTTTAATTATCATGTGTGATGCTGATATTCCAACTGTTTCAAGAGTGAAGAAGATAATGGAGAATTTTGAAGCCACTACTGGATTGAGAGTTAATTTCTGTAAATCTAATGTCTATGTGGTAGGAGTATTTGATGCTATAGCTGATCAAATCCAATTTATACTGGGATTTGAGAAAGGAAGCTTTCCTATAAAGTATCTTGGGATGCCAATATCACCAACTGCATGGAGTAAAATGGAATGTCAAAGCATGGTGGATAAAGTTACTGGAAGGATAAATTGCTGGACATTTAAGCAACTGTCTTATGCAGGCAGGTCCTTACTCATTAATGATGTCTTGATGCATTTAAACTCTTACTAGGCTAGTATTTTCCTAATTCCATAGAATGTGATCTAAGATATAGTTAAAGTCTGTAGACAGTTCCTTTGGGAAAGCAAGGAGGATGGGAGAAAGTTGTCTCTGATAGCATGGAATGATGTGTGTAAGAAGAAATCAGAAGGAGATTTGAATATAAAGGAACCTGGTTCTTGGTATAAGGCTTTGATCATAAAGCAATTATGGGATCTTAGTAACAGGAAGGCAAGCTTATAGATGAAATGGATGCATATTTACTATATAAAAGGAAGATCAGTATGGGAATGCGAAGCTCCTAGTGGCAGCAGTTGGCACTGGAAGAAGTTGATGAGAGTAAAAGAGGATATGAAATCTGGGATTAGCAATGATAAATGACTGGGAAATTAAGGGAAATAGTATACAACAAGTAGTGGCTATACATGGTTGAGAGGAGAACACAGGAAGGATCATGCAACTAAAATAGTTTGGTGTATCTATTCAGTGCCAAAACACAGCTTTATCAGCTGGTTGGCCTGGAAACACAGACTGACTACTGGAGAGAGATTGTAGCAATTGAATATAGTTGTTGGTGACATAAGGTGTGTTCTGTGTGAAAATGCAAGTGAAACGTTAAACATCTTTATTTTCAGTGTGCTTACTCTAAAAGCTTGCTAGAAAAGGTGCAAGATTGGCTGGGAATTGTTATCATCCCAAACAGACTGATGGTGCAGGAAATGCTGAAACTGTGGAGGCATAAGAAGTTGCAGAAGAGAGTGCTATTTGCTGTACTCAATGCTACAGTTTACCATGTTTAGATGGAATAGAACTATAGAAAGTTCATAGATGTAAAATGTGTGGTGGAATGTTGTTTTAGTAGAATTCATCAGGAGATAAAATGGAGAGTATTCTCTTGCTTGTGGATGGAGAAATTAAAAAACAGTGAGAGTCAGTTTATGTTGAGATTAGGACTGAGTTTTGACCGTTGATGTAATTATACATTGTACAGGGAAGTTTTGTGAAGTGATCAATACAATTTACAATTTACCAAAAAAATAAAATAAAATACATCTCGATTCATTACGTCAGCAACCCGGCTCACGTTCGCCAGGTAAAGCTTCATGTCCAAGGCTGGAATATTCCAGACTCCATTTCTTCCGACGTTCATTTCCACGGATTCCCCGTCCCTCCCTATGAAACACCCCCTCCAGATCCAACTGCCTCCACCAAATTCCCTACGCATCAGATTCCAACCATTCTTTCGATAGTTCACCTTTGGGATCCAGTTTTTGAACTCATGCAAACATTGTCCACTACAACTAAAAGATTAGTAGTCATTCATGATGCCTCCATGTTGTATGTTATCCAAGACACCGGTGTTGTTCCAAACGCTGAATCCTACACCTTTTCGCCCTACTCTACGTTAAGTAGTTACTCCACTCTATGGCAACTTGGAGGGGAACCCGAAGGCGTGCCCGAACACCAATTACTCCAACTTCTGCCAAAGCTTAAATTCCAACAAGAAGCCCAACAATTTGTGCTATTAAACCTTACAGCAAAATTACCAGCTCCGGTACCCTCCTCAATTCCTGCACCGCAATAGAAGGTCTGTTTGTTGAGTACCGTACTAAGTTCAAAAGTTTCGGCTCCGACAAGGTTTGGGCAGTTGGTCCATTGCATCCTGTTCATCATCGTCATCATGTACCAGGGGTGGGAAAAAAAGATGAAGATGAAGTTAAACAAGGAGGGCAGCAGAGGCATTACTTCTTGCTTGGCTCGACAACCAATCTCCCAATTCCGTTCTGTTCGTGTCATTTGGTTCCTCCATTACGCTTTCAGATGAAGAGATCAAAGAATGGCAATCGGGTTGGAGAAAAGTGGTCAAAAGTTTTTATGGGTGCTTAGGGATGGGGATAAAGGTGATTTGTTTAAAGACGAAGGTGGTGGTGATCATCAGGTTAAAGAAGTAAGGCAAGTTCAATGGTTAGAAGGGTTTGAGAGTCGGATTAAGGAAGCCAACACAGGAATCATTGTGAGGGATTGGGCTCCTCAGCTGCAAATTCTTGCGCTTTCATCCGTTGGTGGGTTCTTGAGTCACTGTGGATGGAATTCATGCATGGAAAGCCTTTGCCACGGTGTCCCAATTGCTGCATGGCCTATGCATTCCGACCAGCCGGCAAATGCTGTGTTAATTTCAAAAGTGTTTAAAGTTAGACTGCCTGTCCTGCCGGAATTTTTGTCATCGGATCCGGAAGTTGAACAGGTTCAGGTGGCATCAAAAGATATCGAAAATGCGGTGAGAATGCTGATGAATTCTGCGGAGGGACACCAGATGAGGCAAAGGGCACAAGAAATGAGCAAAGCAGTCAAAGCATCTCTCATGGATAATGGAACCCCATTTGGGGTGGATTCTTTTGTTGCTCATATTCGCAGATAATTTTTTTTATCTTATGTTGCTCTTGATGTTTGTTTTTTCGTTTTGCTACAGTTTTTTGGCAGAATTTAAGGCGTCCGGTTCATTAATGTGTAGGAATGCAATTAAGTGTAGGGAAATGCTTTGTAACACTTCTATTAATGCTTGATTTCTTGTTAAATAAATTAAAATTGAGGGTGTGATATTTTTTTTTTTTTGAGACAGAAAGAATTTTTTTTAAAAAAAAGAAATAACGTTTTCTTAAACAATAACAATCTACGCGATTAAAAAATTTTGCCAAGAAACAATTTAGGAGAAGGACATACTTGAAAAGAATATACTTGTATCAAATGAAAAGCTCAGAACTCCGATTGGAGGGTAGGTACGTAATTTTTTTTTTTAAGGTCGATGGAATAGGTTTATTTTGTGTATTTTCTATTCAAAAAAGGCATAGCCCCCTCCAATTTAGGTTTATTTTGTGTATTTTCTATTCGCCGGAATTCTTCTACTCCCCCGACCGCCATTAACGGTGGTAGGGGGAGCCTTCTTTTCTCCAATTTTTTTTTTCTCTTTTTTCCGCTTTCTTTTCAAAATAGGTCTGGCCTCCTCCATCCTCTGCTGTAGCTGATCAAATCATCCTCACGCGACTTTCGGAATTCACCGAACGCTATAAACCTGATCACCGGAGAGCCCCCTTGTGTTGATAGTGCAGATTTACAGATCTGAATTCGGTGATCAGATCAACCTGACCACCGGGCCAAAACCTTGTAATCATCATCAACGATCCTGAATCTATGAAGGAAATATTACTGAAGCCCAATCGTTTTCCGAAGTCCAATTCCAATCCACTCAATAAATTCTTGGCCCAAGGCCTGTTTACAGCTGAGGGAGAAAAATGGACCAAACATAGAAAGTTGCTAAATCCTGCTTTCCATCACAGAAGATCAAGATTTTATTTGTTTGTTTATTTTTGAGAAAACGTTTTTATTTTTAGTAAAACAAGAAATTGTTTTCTGTCCATTGATATGTTTACATATCAAGAAAAGAATTAGTCATTGTTATCAATGACATGTACGGTGTTTAACCAGCCAGTTAACCAATTTTCCGGTTAATCGATTTTGATTAATTTCAATTTTGAATAAATCGATTAACCAAGCGATTAAATAATTGGTTTCACGGTTTTGATTTATCAATTTTTCATTTCATTACCGGTTTCTACTAATCAAAACTATTTGTGATATCTTTAGTACAAAATGCAATTGAGGTTTAGCTCAACAGATTTATCAATATTGTTGTCGTGAAAGCTAAACACTTTCGATGTATCCACTTGGCTTTGTTGCTACTAATATTATTAGCGTGAAATTCTATGGTTATCTTTGTTAGTTATCATAATTTGAAAGATGTTTTAATACTTACTTTTGATTTTTTGCTCAACAAAAAAGGTTTGCTTGAAATGTGTCGTGTATCTATTTGGTAAGGGAATGGAAGCTCAACTTTGATTCGTGAAAATATGAACTTTCAAAAGTTTGCTACTTGCTTTGTTTGCCAATGACATTATGTATGCAAGAGATTTTTAGAAGCTATATATAGTTCATATCTGTAAATACGTACGTTTGCATCTAACTAACTGGTATGGTATTAACAACTCCCTCCGGCTCATAATTATTGTTCACTTTGAGTTTTTATTTTTAGTTTAAATTGTACTAAAAGTGAAATATCAAATTAGACAATAATTTTAAGACGGAGGGAGTATATATTTACAACTAAAGTTCAACTAATCGAGTCACTGAAATTGATGTTTTTCTTTGTGTCTGTTCTGACTACTTTAGGGTTCTTTTTAGGACCGGTATAAGGTGAAAAAGCACATTAAGATTTTGATTTTTTTTTTTTGTGAGTTCTTAGGCACAATATTTTTTAGATCGGTTTAAGGTGATGGATGTTCATTGTTCCTGGAAATCCATACCATCGTGTGTTCTTATTTTCAGTGTTTGGATTGGCAATTATAACACAAACAATTGAGCCCTCATTCAGCCTCGAATTTAGACTATGAACTGGAATGTTTTCCAGCAACAAGTTGCAGTTTTTGTGAAGGTTAGTCATTACTAACTAGCGCCGGTTCTGTTTAGTTACAGTCATACATATACCTGAAAATTTTGTTTGTATTTATGCTTCACGTGCCCTGTTGACTTAATTAGAGTTGTCATTTTTTATTTTGGGGATGAAGTTTTGTGCCTTGTAATGTGTGTATTTGTTCATTGGATTAGATAGAGAACTTGCAATTTCCAGGAGAAATTGAGGTTGCATGCCGCAAACCCCTTTGGATTGCTAAGGAGAAAGGATGCTTATCATTATTCTAGAATTCATGCTTATTTTCCATGGTTTTTGTCATCCTTTTTGGACGAAATATAAACCATTATCATTATTCTAGAATTCATGCTTATTTTTTATGCCTTTTGTAATCGATCATAGTTACTTTATTTAATTACTTATATTTACAGCAACAAAAAAAAAGAAAGAAAGAAACCAATTAAACAATGATGGTGAAGCAATTTCTTAGCGAGCGTGACAAAGAACAACTTAGTTAAAAATAAAATTTTAAAATTATTTTATAATAATTGAAAGAACACAATAAATATGAAAATAAATTTATAAAATTTTATTTTTAATTAGAAAAACATACTAAATGAAATTTTAGAAAAATCAAAATGGTTTATACTTAAAAAAAGGAAGGAGTATATATGTTATAAAATGGACAATCACTTTGAATCGTACATGTGAAATTAAGGAATCTTTCCACTCCCATTCTCTCTATATGTATACACACGCACTTTTGCCACCAAATCCAATTGTGTTACATCTTACATCTCAATATAGTTTTTGACATTTCATCATGTGCAAATCAAATGTAAGCCATAACTAAAATCAAGCCAAAAATTGCAATATGGGGTTAAAAAAAAAAAAAAGGGAGTACATGTTGAAAGGAACCATAATCCGAGCTATATAAATTCTTAATCAAGACTTTGATTATCGCCAGTTGAAAATTATATCTAGCTATTAAGTGTGCTATTGGGTAGTTTCATAAAACATTTAGGATCGATTAGTGATTTTAGCAAACTTCTGGGGAGGTCAATGAATGATCAAAATTGATCCTCCACGATCCATCACGAATTCACGAACACACACACACACACAACAAAAAAGTAATACGTCGTCGTTACGATGGCGCAGGCGCAGGTGGGCCACCACCTATTGTGCGGAGGATTAAGACTAATCACTACGACGGCGACAACAGGAAGAAGAAGAAGAACAGCCACCATGGCCACCTCCGTTTCCGCCTACCAGAAGCTTCTCGCCGTCGGCACCAAGATCATTGCCGTCGGCCGCAACTACGCCGCCCACGCCAAAGAACTCGGCAACGCCGTCCCCAAGGTGGTTTCATATATTGCTATTCCTTTTCTCCATTTGTTTGATATTCAATCGGTACTAAACTGAGACTACTTACAAATTGGCAATAGGAGCCGGTGTTGTTTATGAAGCCAACGTCGTCGTATTTGGAGAACGGAGGTAAGATCGAAGTTCCCCACCCTTTGGAGTCCTTGGATCACGAGGTGGAACTTGCCGTCGTCATCGGCCAAAAGGCCCGTGATGTTTCCGAGGCTTCTGCCATGGATTATGTCGGAGGTATACTATCCCAATCAATTTCAGATTTCAACTTCTAAATTTGCTCTGTAACTGTTAAGGATTTAGATTTTCTTCTTAGTATGAAATTCAGTAGTCTGTATCTTGAAATGATGAGAGGTGAAACAGTGTAGCGGAAGTTGATATGTAGCAAAAGTTTGATTTTTAAGCATTTTCTTTTTGTTGTTGTTTTAAGTTAAACCATGTTTAGGAATCTGCTGAAAAAGATTTTGTGTGGTGTGTGATTCAGGTTATGCGCTTGCATTGGACATGACTGCCAGGGAAATCCAAGCTGTTGCAAAGGTGGAATTCTTCTTCACAAATATTTTTACTATTGTATTTTTTTTCCTTTAATAGCTACGCGATGCTCTTGAATTTTTTCATCTCAATGCATCATAGTCTACACAGGCTATTATCTATCTTTTGGTAGATTCTCTCTTCTTGCTATCTCCGTTGGTCAAAAATGCTGTTTTCCTTCCTTTGAATGGATATTTTCCTGGTTTGTTTCTGGTTGTAAGTGTTTGTTAGTTTTCTGTTTGCCAATTCTGCCTGCAAATTGCAACTTTTTCCTTTTTTTTTTTTACCTTTTCCGTTTTTGTTGAAGAGGAATGAAGAGACTGTTGTGTTGTGTATAAAGCGTAATCGGATTGAAAGTTTCTTGTGCTCTATTTTGTTCTAACGTTTTTAATGCTTTCTGCCAGTCTGGAGGTCTTCCATGGACTGTTTCCAAGGGCCAAGACACCTTCACACCAATCAGCTCTGTTGTAAGTGTTGACTGAAACCCTGCTTTGGTAGGCAGTAGAAAATCTTTGTGAGATGAGTCTTCTATAATTTATGAATCTTGCAGGTAGTTCCCTTGAAGTAGTTGAGAAAAATTTCTTAATTGATTAATGGGAATGCTTACCAGTGCATATATCTTTTGTTGCAGTTGCCTTGCTCAATGATTCCTGATCCTCACGATGTAGAATTGTGGTTAAAGGTACCACTACCAACAGATCATGCTCTTCGTCATATATGTTCTGTTTCATTTCTTGGGTTGCTGTTTAAAATGTTAGCAAATATTACTTAGGTTCCTGAAAGGAATATCTTCTGCTACAGGTGGATGGAGCTATTCGGCAGAAGGGCTCTACGAAAGATATGATTTTTAAGATCCCATATTTGATTAGCCACATAAGTTCTCTCTTTACCCTTCTCGAAGGAGATGTTATTCTAACAGGTGAAAGCCTAGTACACTTCCTCTCGTTATGAGTAGGTTGTACTGAATGTTTTCCATAATCCTAAAATCTTATACACTTCTTGTGATGGATACTTTGTACTGAAAATGTATAATCCGTAGATACATATGCATTTGATTATAGCTCAAAGAATGTGAGAAGTGGAATAAAAGTGGTTTCTTGTTGCAGGCACTCCTCAAGGTGTAGGTCCTGTTAAGGTTGGTCAAAAGATAGAGGTTGGTATCACAGGCATATTGGATATTAATTTTGATGTTGGAAGACGGAAGAGTCTGAAAAGTTGATGAGTTAAGTTGCCTCGATGTTTGTAGCATATTATCTGGAAATCTAACCCATATGTATGTATGGTTTAAGATTCGATATCATAAGTCGCACTTGTAACATTAAAGTTTCTTGTAGAAGGAAAAGTTAGACATGCTTGTTAGAGAAATAATGTTTGCCAAAGTTTGTGAAATAAACTGAAACTCTCACGGATCCTACAGTTCCAATTACATTTATTCTGCCTTAACCGAATGAGGTTTGTCATTACTTTTAACTCCTTGAACATGAAATGCAAACCAGCTTACGGCCTGGTTCTCACTTATCCTTACAGAATGTTGTATGCACGAAGGGATAGGATTTGATAGATCCTCACAATGAATCGAAATTCCTGAGGAAAATGTTGTCAGTTCCTGGTGGCATTGCATAATCATTTCATAGTCAAAGGTTTATATCTATATCTTACTATATGACATGAAAAGTGATTGCATAATTTGCATTAGTACTTCACGCTCGAGAGACAATTTTACGTGGAAAAAAATGTGATATTGTTCTTCAACAGACATGGTTCGGGATATCGCGTGTATCAAAGATTGAATTGTAAGAAGAATATCCATACCTAAAGTGCCTAGCACTGATGCCCTTCAACAACTCGGTCATTTTGCCACCTTAAAGAAGTGTTCGTTAGGACTTCTCCACATAAGCAATACTTCATTAATGGCAACTATGATAAAAATAGCCACCAAACAAGATGTTCTTTTGGTTTTTTCATGATTGGCATCTTCATTGATTTCTTGTCTTTTCTCCATGCCATGATCCTTACAAGCTGTTATTGTTTGTACCTTAGGATGGAGTGCTAAAAAGCGAAATAACAGGAAGTACTTCATCATCCCTTTCTTGGTTGACAAAGTGCTTAGTGCCTTTATTTATGGCAACTTCCATCAGCGGCCGGCATATCATACTTCAATCCTTATTAATATAAAAAGATGGCATTCAGTTCAATGATTAGATGAAACTTCAGTTTAGGGTTATTTATATGTTTGAATTTTATATAGGAGTATAGTCGGATTGAACCAAACTATCCGGCCCTAGCCTCTAAATGTCATCTTCCATAAGTCAACTAATTGCATAACAAAATCAGCGTCATGGATTTCTATTTAAGCAGCTTTAAATGAACGGAAGGCAACGCAGAATAGGGTAGAAGCTATAGAAATGGAAGCCAAGATAGATATAATATCTAGGGAGTTGATAAAACCATCACGTCCAACTCCAATTGACAGGAGGGGATTTCCATTGTCTCTCCTGGATCAATCTGAACCGCCTGCTTTTATCCCTATTCTTTTCTTGTACCAAAAACAGCTACCTAACTCAAAAATCGATCTTGATCCGTCCAAAAGGACCCTGCATTTAAAACAATCTTTATCAGAATGTTTGTCAGAGTTCTACCCTTTAGCAGGAAAGCTGAGGCCGGATGATGAGCTTTCTGTTGATTGTGATGATTCTGGAGTTCTGTTCGTGGAAGCTGAGGTTAATGTTAGCCTCGCAGAAGCAGTGAACAATGCACCTTTTGAAAGTTTTGGACAATACTTGCCATTTGATCCATATATAAATGAAGGAAATGATGATGAAGCACTATTGGCAATCCAAATCACTTGGTTTGGATGCGGAGGCTGTGCCATTGGGGTATGCCTTTTCCACAGAGTAGCTGACCTGATATCGTTGATAACGTTCATGAATTCATGGGCTTCTGAAAATCGCGGCGACAGTACCAAATCATCAATGAAGTTGACACCGAATTTCGACTTAGGGAGGCAGCTTTTTCCTATGCCGGAATTCCCCATTATTTTGCCTCCTGTTGCATTGAAGGAAGGAAAGAAAGTGTGCAAGCGGTTTATATTCAACAAGGAAAAGTTGACAGAACTGAAAGAACTCGCCATTTCCTCACCATCATCATCATCGCTGATGAAGAATCCTACCCGGGTTGAAGTTGTTACTGCTTTCATATGGAAGCAATTGATTAAATTGGAGCAGGCTAAAAACCGGGGCACTGCTAATAAGGAAACAACATCCAGGATCTGGCATGTGGTGAACTTGAGAAGCAGAATAAGCAGCTTGGTGGCCTTACCTAGTGATGAGTTTCCTTTTGGAAATCATATAATTCTTGGACCTGCTTCATTCACTTCCAGTAAGAATCAGGATGAGACAGATGATGATTATGGCGATCTAGTTCCCCTAACGAGCAATGCAATACGGACAATCAACGAGGACTATGTTCTCAATCGTGCAGTTCCTCTCATGAGAGGCTTGCTGAATAGTAGTGTGACGGAGCAATTAAATCATCAGAAAACGATGGCGAGTGATTGGTTGTTCAGCAGTTGGTGCAGATTTCCGATTTACGAAGTGGACTTTGGTTGGGGAAAACCTGTTTCAGTCGGCCCTGTTGGTACACCAGGCTTCAATGTGGTTGCCTTAAAGAGCACAAGGAATGAGGAAGGAATAGAAGCTTGGATTTCTATGTTGGAAGCAGAGTTCGCTTTGCTTCCTGATGAGTTTCTTTCACTCGCAGCTGCCGATTATTTTCATGCGTAAACTGATGTTCAATTGTTCATCCAAGGACAAATTTTGATTCTGTTCTGTAATGTTATGTTATCGGGTTCATGTTTCGCAAGCTCATTTTGTATTACTTGTAGCTTTATACGAAGCTGCATTGTGTGTTTGGCGAAGAATTTAATCAGGTGAAGCACTACATGTTACTACATCTGATCAGTTTTTTTGTCTCTTCATCTTTTCGGATTTTCCAAGTTCATCAGACCGAGAAATCAATCATTACCAAACAATATTTTTATATCTCGTTGACTTATGCATCGAGATAGATATCTCGACGAATAAGTCGGGGCACAAGCTCTCCTAGCTTGCAGATGCTCTCTTTTGTGAAACACTGAAACTGCATTTTTGGTTTTTTCTTTCTAACAGTTTTGGCGGCTTCTTTTCTTTTGCGGGTTTCAAGTATTTTCTATCACCGGAGATAAGTACGAAACCAATTTGTAATGTTGTAGTAGTAGGAATTGGTGTTTATTTTACGATTTTTGTAGTATGAAATCAATGCATGAATTTTCAAGGTGTGATCCTAGATTTGTGCCACCTGATCTTCCACCTTTCTTTGTTTGTCCTTTTGTAGTTAACGGCCAAGCATGTTGCTGAACTGCTGATTATTTTGGCTTAAAACATGAAGAAAAGTTTTCAGTGACAATTCCAATTAGCTTGTTCTTTTTCAAAAAAATAAAATAAAATAGCTCGTTTAATAACCCCCTTTCTAAAGTTGCAAACTTTAATACTTTTATGTAAAATCGACTTGCTGAACAGATTACATTAACCATTTCGAAAAAATTGTCATAACACCTGTCCAAAAAGAATGGATAAAATTGAGAATAAGAATGTGAATGTTAATGGCCTAAGCATTCACGTAGCAGAGCTAGGAACAGGGCCATTAGTACTCTTCCTTCATGGTTTCCCTGAACTCTGGTATTCATGGCGCCATCAGATTGTCTTCCTGGCTGCTCACGGCTACCGGGCTGTTGCTCCTGATCTTCGCGGCTATGGCGATACAACTGGGGCCCCCATTGAAGACAGCTCCAAATTCAGCACTCTGCATTTAGTGGGAGATGTGATAGCACTTCTCCAAGCTATTGCACCTGATGTGGAAAAGGTGTTTGTAGTTGGCCATGACTGGGGTGCTATGATTGCCTGGCACTTGTGCTTATTCAGGCCTGACAAAGTTAAGGCCTTGGTTAATCTGAGTGTTCCATTTATGCCCAGGTATCCCCCAATCAATATAGTTGATGGACTGAAGATTTTCGGGCAGTGCTTTTTTAGGCTTGATAAGCTCAAGGCTTTGGTCAAAACTAGCGTTGAATTGATGCCTAGATATTCTTCAATCAATCATGTAGTTGATGCATTGAAGATGGCCTGGAAGTGCTTGTTTAGGCCTCATAAAGTTAAGGCCTTGGCCAACTGCTTTATGCCCAGTTCAATTAGTGTAGTTGATGGACTCAGGGTTGCCTATGGCGATGATTACTACATTTGCAGATTCCAGGTTCTTTTCTTTGATATCAGATTTGAAAATTTTACTAGTTTTCATTGTTTTGAGGTGCCATGATTGTTGAAAGGAACGGAATGAACTAACATATCTTCTTGATAACGGATTGAAATAGCTGTTTTTTATTTACCAGATACCAGGTGAAATAGAGGCTGAAGTAGCAGAAATGGGAGTTGAGCATTTCATGAAGAAGATATTCACGTATGGAACACCCGGTCCACTGATTCTCCCCAAGGGTAAAGGCTTTGGCGACTCGCCTGATACCCCGGTTTTCTTACCACCTTGGTTGACAGAAGAAGATGTTGCATATTATGTTAGTAAATTTGAGAAGACAGGCTTCACTGGAGGTGTCAATTACTACCGCGCTCTCGATCTGTGAGTAACTTCATTGCACAATGCACAAATTTAAAGTTTTGCTGTTGATGTGAAAGTACTAAAAGCTGTGAATTTGCAGTACCTGGGAAGTGACTGTAGCCTGGAATGGGGCTCAAGTAGAAGTACCAACCAAGTTCATTGTTGGGGACCTGGATTTGGTGTACCATATGCCTGGAAATCAAGATTATATACACAAAGGTGGGTTCGAAACTGATGTGCCCATGTTGGAGGAAGTCGTCGTGATCAAAGATGCAGCACATTTCATCAACCAGGAAGTACCTGACGAGATTAGCAAACACATATACGACTTCATTCGGCGATACTGAGCTTCTGTTCTCGCGCTCCATTTGTGAATCCATCCTTCTGATGGAATGTTATTGGTAGTTGTTTTGTTTGCTTATTAGGATCTTTTGCACCCTTTTTCTTTCTTCAGTAAAGTGGGACACTCTGTAGATATTATGCTACTAAAATGATGAATAAAGGCCAGATTTAAGTTGGATTAAATTTGAAAGTAGGACTTCAAACTCTTCGGTCCCTAAAGGCCTAAAGTACGTTTGAAATGCTATTCCCGACGATTAAGTTGGCGACTTTCAGCAAATGCAAATATGCAACCAGTCGGTTCACTTAACAAAGTGGACGAATTAGTCGTCGGGCGTTTCGTTCACTTAACAAAGTCGACGAATTAGTCGTCGGGCGTTTGGTTCACTTAACAAAGTTGACGAATAAGTCGACTACACTCAGAGTATAGCGATCGACCAGCCGGTTTTCCTTGCATTTTTGTTCAGTTTTCAGGGGAAATTAACTTTTCATTTCTTTACGAGACTGTTTAATCGTATTCTTATCTTCCCTTTGGTCCAAGAATTGTATGATTCGGTTAAGATCTTGTGGAGATAAGCTCGGTTGAAGTTCAGCTTACCAGTTGTTCACGTTTTTGAATGTTTTTGCCCTTTTACGCCACTTTTGTATCATTTCTAAGATTAAAACAGGAAAAAAATATTGTAACTCTAAATTGGGATGCTCGGAAATCTACACCAACTGCTAATGATCCAATCATTCACCTTGAATTTTGCTGGTTGCTGTTTTTGTACTTGTTCTGTTCCGAAAACTGCAGCAAAAATTCTTCAATAAAGGAACAGCACAATTGAGTACATAATCTTCAGTGACATTCCATAGCAATCATCTGTATCTTCCTGATTCTCATAATCAAATATAGAGAATGATGCAGTTCCAAAAATGAATCTATAAACTTAAATGGAAATAGCATAAACAAATCACGCACATTTGTACAAAGTAACACATTTTGTATTATGCAAAAGTGCTGTATTTTGCAGATGCTATTCTATCAATACCGGTTGATTTTGTAGATTCATCAAACGTGGAGGTACTTATGCAATTCCCTCTAAATTTTAGGGCCACTTATTTTAGAAGTCGCTTTGACATTGTCTCTTGGAGGAATCTCCCCATACGTAAATATCAAGATTCTTCCTTTATTTCCCAAGTCCCAACAGATAAGAAGTCAACTGATTTCTTTATTTTCAGAAAAGAAAGAGCAACAATAGTATCATACTATCTCATCCACAGAACAATAATCTTTTTGCATCCTCTTTAATTTGAGGGAGACCCTTTAAAAATGGACAAGATTGAGCACAAAAATGTGGATGTTAATGGCCTAAGCATACACATAGCAGAGCTAGGAACAGGGCCATTGGTACTATTCCTTCATGGTTTCCCTGAACTCTGGTATTCATGGCGTCACCAGATCGTCTTCTTGGCTGCTCATGGTTACCGGGCCGTGGCTCCTGATCTCCGCGGCTATGGCGATACAACTGGGGCCCCCGTTGAGGATATTTCAAAATTCACTACATTTCATTTGGTTGGAGATATCATAGCCCTTCTTCAAGCAATTGCACCTGATGAGGATCAAGTGTTTGTAGTTGGTCATGACTGGGGTGCTTTGGTTGCTTGGCAATTGTGCTTGTTTAGGCCTGATAAAGTTAAGGCCTTGGTTAACTTGAGTGTTCCATTTATGTCCTTTAATCCCTCAATCAATATGGTTGATTCTCTGAGGAGTGTTTATGGTGATGATTACTACATTTGGAGATTCCAGGTAAAGCTGATTCATTTACTTTCAATCTCTACTCTTTGTGATCTTGACTCCTGAGCATGATTTTTAAGTATCACTTGATGCTAGCCAATTAGTCCATCTTTGCTTAGTGGCTAAAAACTTCAGATTCTACATAGGCTTAAGGATTTGGATTTCTTTAGAGGATATAGATTGTAGACAAGTATAATGTTAGTTAATAGTAAACACATGAGAAATTACATTATATGTGTTTTCTCAAAGAAATGAAACCAGAGGGCTGTAATGCTCAATTCTTGCTACAGATTCCAGGTGATATAGAGGCTGAATTTGCTGAGATAGGAGTGGAGCATGTGATGAAGAAATTACTAAGCTACCGAGATCCAAGTCCATGGTTATTCCCCGAGGATAAAAGCTTTTGGGGTTCCCCTGGCACTCCAATAACCTTGCCATCTTGGTTGAGTGAAGAAGATATTGCTTATTATGTTAGTAAATTCAAGGAAACAGGCTACTCTGGAGGCGTCAACTACTACCGCGCAATCAATCTGTATGTAACTAACTTGTTACCTTAAATGTCGCTTTATATGATATTGTAGATACTGAAAATCGCCGGATTTTGAACTTCTGGTTTTTGAGTTTGCAAGTACTAACAATGCTGTGAATATGTATGCAGTACCCGAGAACTTTCTGCTCCTTGGATTGGAGCTCAAGTAAAAGTGCCAACCAAATTTGTTACGGGAGATTTGGATTTGGTGTATCATATGCCGGGAATGCAAGACTATATCCACAAGGGTGGATTCAAGAGTGATGTACCGTCGTTAGAAGAAGTTGTAGTGATCAAAGATGCAGCTCATTTCATCAACCAAGAAATCCCGGATGAAATTAGCAAACACATCCTTGACTTCATTCAGAAATTCTCTGCTTCTTGAATGAAACTCAGTTGCAAGTTGTTGTTGCCATTGCCGATTTCACCCCATTGGTTTTGATCTCAAATGTAAGATGCCACTATTAATGTTTCAGTGTGTTATGGCATTATGCCAAATAAAAATCTGTTGTCGTCCAAATTCCAAATTACTTATGGAGTGAGTAAATTACTTATGAGTCTCACTCCATATCATTTACAAACGCATCCACGAATTTAACAAACTATAAGCAAAACAATAAGCACATTGTCAGATCTCAGGACGGTATAAACCCTAGCGAAACTACTACATGACATACTAGAGGACAATGTAGTAAATATATTCTAGAGCTGCGTATTATGAACATAGTTGACTTAGAGAAATTGAATCAATTCCAATCGAGTAGCCTGATGCTCCGTTTCAGTGAAGCCAAAATACAACTATAAAAGGCCGAAACGCGAAAATTCTAACACTTTTTTGGTTGTATGACCATTTTGTGAGAAATCCAGGGCCATTGCATTGAAATCACAGCTTCTCGAAACAACACCTTCCTTTTGTTGTGCCGAGAGCTAAAGTATCTGAAATCTAACAAGTGAACGCCTTGTTAATTTCACGAGTTGCTGCTCAGCAGTCCTCCTGTTACTGACTTTTTCCTCAGCTTTCGCACAACAAACTGCACTTTCATTGTACCAATGAGTAAAACGTGTAGGATGCGGATCAACAGTTATCTTTTCAAGTGAAAGTGCATTTTCCAGAAACCACTTGATAAGCTCCAATTCTATTGCATGGCCATTATATTCATACATTTCAACCACTTTGAGATGATCGACACTATAATCTATGTCGTCATTCTCTGACTTTCTGTTGCTCTCATTCTCAATCATATTCTTCCACGGGCAAAACAACTGCAAAAAAAAAAAAGGAAAAAAAAAACATACCCACACACATACTCACTGAAAAATCACTGGGTGGTTGGAACCAGAAATTTAAAAGAACGATGACAGTCTAAAAGGAAAGGAAATTTATAACATATATCTACTACCTTTATTTTGAACTTCTCGAGGTTTGGTGATGCCCTAAAGAAGGAAGAAAGTCCAGAAATGATCTCATCATAGAATATCTCTTGTTGTATAAATAACTGCTTCAGTGCAGATAGCTGAGGAAGTTTACCTTTGAACTGGAATACAAAACAAAATATAGCCCAAAAAAAAAAATTAAACACCAACTCAGAAGTCAGCAAGGTGGTAAGAGAATATTACAAAACAAACAACCAATGAGCAAGATGCATATCACTTTGGCACTCCAAGGATGTAGTTTTAAAGAAAGAACCTCCAATTTCGAAAAGCAGCATGTTAGATGGGGAAGAATATCCTCAACAATGGGATGATAGTCCGTGAAATGAATCTCACTAAGTCGAGGGACATTCTTAAGCACTAATCTCGATGAAGCATCAATACTTATAGAGCCAAGATTGGTATTACACAAAATAAGGGACTCTAAGGGACAACTTAAAATTTCCAAGTGCTGCAATGCAAGCTGTGGACTGCAAACCTCCAGAGTCTTTAAACGACGAGATACGTGTACTACCAGACTTTCAAGAAATTTGCAAATTGTGCAGAAATAATTCAAGATTGCCCCCAGAGACATCTACAAAGCGGAAACTCAACACTTTCAGAGAATTCCAACTTCTTTGAGTAACCATTGTAGAAGGAAAAGCATAAGGTCCATGGGAGGAATAAAGTCCGGGCTTATTCGTGTCTAGTTCCAGCCTCTGCACTCCCCTGTCAAGGGCATACTGTAGCCACTTATTAATATCCTTCCGAAAGGAATCATCAAAAGTATAATAAATTCTGAACTTATTCAACACCGAAGCTTGACGGGACCCTATCACCTTGTTGATCCACTTAACAAACTTGCACCTTTCCCTTTTAAGTCTCTTTATTTCTCCCTTCCCCATAGCACGTAACACCTCATAGCCGTTGGACCGCAATTTCCTACGACAGTCGCATTCAAAAGTAAATGTATCAAAATCAAGGTCAGGAACATAAGTCCAGGCATCCTTCCATCTTTTGGACAAAGCACTAGTTCTGCCAGCTTCTTTGAGTGTTAGATAGGATAATATGCAAGTGAGGGTTTCATCTGGGAGCTGACTAATCCGATCTTCAGTAGTATGCCTCTGTTAGAATGTTTCACAAAAAGAAACCACCATAGGTTTCACAGAACAACAAATTTATTAAGAAAAAAATTGGGAAAAGAGTTACTGTCACCACAAATAACTTGGTAGAGCAACAAACCCCAAGCAATCCCAGTAATCACTTCAAAAAAATTTAGGAACTTTGCTAGAAAGGGCAACAAAAAAAGCCCCAGAATAATCAACATATTAAAGGGAAAAAAAATAAAAACAAATGAATTGATGGGTCTCGCAGAGCAACGAATGAAACAAACAAATTTATCAGCAAGAAAGAGTCATAAGAGGACGTAATTATATGAAATAATGTAATAC